TATTGCCAACACCTACCCAATACCCCCCCTGGTTGAGTGGGTAAAAGGACAGGGGTGGGAGCAGAGAGCAAGATCATGGGTTTGGGTGCTGATTGGTCATGAACTCTAACTGGATCCTTAACCCTCAAAGTGGCTATGGGCTTGCCCCCCCGTTAGTGTAAAGAGAAAACTGGGTCTCTGAGAAGCGACAGGGAGTTCTAGCACGCCCCCCCACAACTACCACCAGTGGAGTAGAGGAGCTGGCTCTGAACCCCAAATTTTGAGTTTCGGTAGGATGGTTGGAGACAAAAGAATTTCTCAAAGTAGAACCTCCCTAAACACAAGGAGCCCCCCCTAACTCTCATAGAACCTAGATTGCTTTCCTAATTAAATACCATTTTTACCTCCACCCCCCCGAAATTTTATAAAATGTCTAGCCTTTCATAAGCTCCTTGAAATCCTTACCTTCACCCCCCCGTATCCAAAAAAAAAAAAAAATTTTTTTTTTTTTTTTACAAAGGAAATTTAAATCCCCCCCAAATGCCATTTAAAGACAACATAAATCCTAAAAAATTAATATTTTGATGTTAACAGTTACTCTTGTTATCTTGAACTCTGATGCCACAAGTATTTCCCGGTCTACTATACATCCACCCCCCCCCTGAGTACTTACATCACCCTCGATTAAGATTCTTTACTTCTGTTGGCCTGCTTTTGGATGAACATAAAGCACCTCATGCTTGTGTAAACCTGCACTGAATGACTAGTGGGTTATCCCCCCCAGGTCATTCCTAGCAACACTCTATAATACGTAGCCTACATAGTAGTCTTTTGAACCCCCCCTTGTCTTTGATTCAGCAGCTCTGAGATATTAGTGGCTTTTTACCCTAGTGGGATCCCCCCCAGCCTTTTTAGCAATGAAATCTAAATTTTAATTTTCATTTGTAGAAAAAGGGCACCCCCCCAAATGAGTGTCTCACCTAGTGGTAAGTTATTTCAATTGTGTCTGTTCTCCCCCCCCCCCCCAAGATAACTGATGGGTACCACATAGCAGTGTCCCTAAGTTACATTGAACCGGGACCCCCCCCCAGGGGCTATTTTTGCTACTTCCAAATACTATATTGATTACACAAATTTGAATCCCCCCCTCTGCAGACCACTTATAATGCCTTCGGGATTGGGTACGTGTGCAGTGTACATAGCCCCCCCTATAACTCTGATTAACGTCGCCTGCATGCTATTCAAAGTTAAGAAGCAGGTATGTTTGATCCTTGGAATCTCTTGTGTTCAGAAGGGCCTCTATGTCCCTTCTGTTATTTTCTCTGATTATGTCTTTTTCTCTCATCCTTTGGATGCAAAAAGGAAGTTTAAGATGGGGACAAAATCCAGATACAATAAAATCCTGTGGCATTAGGTATTCTACATGGGGAAAGCATTGCCTTAATGTGTCATTTTATTATCACTCAACAGCTAGCTCACTGAACCAAACTCCATTTTGGCTCTAGGTTGGCTGTTAGGAAAGATCGAGTTAATCATTTGATGTTTGTGAGACCTAGAATTAGAAATAAACATAAATGTATTGAGGTGGATGGGGGAAGGGTTTAAAAAGATAATAAAAAAGCCAAGAGCTGAAAGAACCATCCTGAGCACTGAGGCAGAAAATCAAAGCGACTGGGGTTGGGGTGGGGTGTTACTTCCGAGCACCTTAAATTTGAGTTTGAAAAATGTTTAGGGAGTTCTTAAGGCTTCTAACTGAACTTTCATTTTATCCAAAAGTAAGCACGTTTATTTGTTTTTTGTCTCCTTGGGTAAATATTCTGATGTGTTTCTGTTTCATTTGCTTAATGATATCATGGATGATTATTTTTTAATTAAGGAGAGTTTGGTTTGTAAGCATTTTAAATGTCATCCCTTTGGCTGATATTTAAAACTCAGCCTGAGTTTGAGCTTTTTGTTCTTCTGCCTTTCCCATGCTTTAAACTCATGGTCTCAGTGCCCCCCCAAACTAAGGATTTTAATTATTTCAAAACTAGGAAACCAACGAGTTACTGCACTTTAGCTTATATAAGTGGTACAAAAATTCTTCCTCATTTTGATAATAGATAAATGATGGGAACCCAGTAAGCTAGGAAGTATCTCTTCATCTGTCTTGAAGGAAACATGCTATCTGGTTAAGAGCCCCCCCATAATTGATGATTCCCTGCAGATGTGTTGGAGCCAGTGATCAAAGGAGGAAGTAGTGAAGTAGGAAGATTCCTCCTCAGAGAGGCAGACCTGGGCTAAGGCATCTGTTGAAATCTATAACTGTAACGGCAATGTCTCTATGATGTCAGGCCCACTTCATAAAAGAAAGCATAATCACCCCCCCAGATTTTCAACCACTATTATATCTTGTTCCTGCCTCATATAGCTTATAACGATTCTTTTTTAAAGATTTTATTTATTTGAGAGAAAGAGAGATAGCGACAGAGATCGTGAGAGCACCCCCCCGGAGGAGAGGGAGAAGCAGGCTCCCTGCTGAGCAAGGAGCCTGATGCAGGGCTCGATCCCAGGACCCCGGGATCATGACCTGAGCTGAAGGCAGATGCTTAACTCACTGAGCCACCCAGGTGTCCCTCTAACGTTTTTTCTAAAAGCTTATCATTACTAACCAAGATTGGCATCCTCCCCCCCCCTAGCAGCAAGGTGTGCTGTGCTTTGAGGCCAGGCAGGCTAGGTTCACATCCCCCCCCCCACGCTGTGGCCTTGGGCAGTTTATTCAGCCTCTCTGAGCATCTTTGCACATTTGTAAAATAGGTGATCATGTCTACTTCAAATGATGGATTTGGAGATTAGGACCCACATATGAAAATTCACAGCATACCCTTTCTCATTGTGTTCATTTAAAAGTAAACTTGTTTCTTTTTTTTTCCCCCCCAGATTTTATTTATCTGAGAGAGAGCATGAGAAGGGGGAGAGTCAGAGGGTAAAGCCCCCCCCCTGCTGAGCAGGGAGCCCGATGCGGGACTCGATCCTGGGACTCCAGGATCATGCCCCCCCCCGAAGGCAGTCGCTTAACCAACTGAGCCACCCAGGCGCCCAAAAGTAAACTTGCCCCCCCCACTTAGGATATTTTTATATATCCATCCTGAGACTTAGCAAAGTTTCTTGTTCCATCAACTCTTAGCTTCTCCATCCAGATCCAGGACTCCTGGATAGCTATCTGTACTTAAATCCCCCCCCAATTCCGGATTCTGCAGCCCACAGTTTTCAGGCATTTGACATTGAGTGATTATACCCCCCCAAATTTCACATTTCTGGTTCATGTAGCTAAACCAAATAGTCTTACCTATTTCTTGAACTAAAAAGTTCTAATAGAAAAGCAAGAATGGGAACTTAAACTCATCAGTAAGACAGCTCCCCCCCTTCAGGCTACTGTAACATTTACCATAGGTTAGGTGGCTTAAACAACAGACATATCCCCCCCGGTTCTGGAGGTTGGGAAGTCCAAGGTTAAAAGTGGAGGGAGATTTATTTCCAGATGAGGGCCCTCTTCCTGGCTTACAAACAGCTGCCTTCTTGCTGTATCTTCACATGGTGGCAAGAGAGATCATCTTTCTCATTTCTTCTAATAAGGACACTAATCCCATCCCACTGGGGATTAAAGGCTTCAACATATGAATTTGGGGGAGTGGGGCACAAACATTCAGTCTATAGCAACAACTAATAAAAGGTAGTTGGAAGTTTAATTTTTACTGTTTAAACCTGCCAGGCTTATTTTCTATGGTTACTAACATTTTTCCCCTTTATAATTATATTTCTTAGCTGAGGTGCAAAACTGTCTCTTGTTGAACACAGACTGTCTGTGGTAATGGATGGCTAACTGAAACACCATCCAAGACCAGGCAGGTACACATAAGTAAGAATAGGCCACCGCAGACCAGAGCATGCCCCCTCAGAGGAGAGCACCCCCCCCCCCACCCAGTAGAAATGGGCTTCTGGGTATTTGTTTTTAAGGCTGGAAATCTGCCCCCCCATGTGAAACGTCAGGTTGATACTGGATGTATTGTTGCTTGTTTTTTTTCTTTTTCCCCCCCATAAGCTAAACAAAATATTTCTGCTGACTGGTCTGCTTCGTGGGGCACCAGTTGCCCCCCCTTTCTCTGTCTCAGTAACTTGTCCAAGGGTACTTTGAAGTGTTTGCCTGAATGGCCCCCCCCCATACCTTTTCACTTACATATGGATAATGTTTTATTTCAGCCATAAATCGTGACCCCCCCTCTTCACTGTTTACACCAACTATCATGATTATAAGCATATGATTTCAGGGAAAACCCCCCCAGGCTGTGTTTGTACTCTGCCCAGAAAAGTCTCACTTTGGTACTTCTGATTTTTATCAGAATTCCACCAGGTATTGTTATAAACGCACTAGTGCACCTTGCCTTGTAAATTGCATCCCCCCCCAGGGTGGGGAAGTTGTCTTAAGTTACTCTTGAAAAACCAAAATTAAATTGTTGCCCCCCCTAATATAAGTTCTCCATACTGGTGTGTTTATGATTATGATTTAACTCTCCAACACCCCCCCTTAAATGGGAGTTAATAAACTGCCAGTAAATGAGGATAATCTACCATGATAATCCCCCCCCATAACCATTTTCATAAACTTAACGGTAAGCCACTTGAGGATATAAATTTAAAAACACAGCTTTTTGTAATTGCAATTTATAGAATTTTAGCTTTGAAATACTTCTCTTTTGAAGTCCCCCCCGTCAAAATGGGTATCTTGACTTTTCTTTGGGACATTAAGAAAGAAATAATGAATGAGTTCTGGTTCTCAAACAGTGGCCCTATTGACTGATCGCTTTCTCCAATTTTTCATATTATGCAAAAGAACAGTCATTGTGTGCCATGTATCGTAAGCAAATGTGACTGTCTCGAGTTACTCCCCCCCCTTTCCAGCCTTCATGTCTTCCTGCCTTCTCCTGAAGATGACCCTGCACACGAGCCCCCCCGGAGGTTAATCTTTCTTTTACTTTCAACAGGTGGAATACATGTTGGTGTCTTTTCCCCCCCAAAATAAGAAAGTCCGGTTGGTCCTGTCCGGAGAGGAAGTTCTTGAAACTCTACCCCCCCCGGGGGAAAGGACAAACCCAAAGTAAGCTGATAAACAAAAGGGTTGCTTTAGTGTCCCCCCCCCTGCTAGAACTACTAAAGTAGAGATAGTAATACGTCCTGTGTTGACATTTTAACCCCCCCATGTATTTAAGCACTTAGAACTATCAACACAGTATAAAGCCTGCTTACTATTACCCCCCCCTAAAAAAAAAATGGACAGAGTGTTACTGAGATCCCAAACCATGGTGCCAGATAAAACTTACACTGAGTTTGTTTGGTAGAATGTTTTTTAATATTTCTCTAAGTAGACAAAGAGGTGAAGGGGCATGTACTTTTCAGTTCCATTTTCCTACTCCATGGACTTCGGGAAGCAGCATTTGAGTTTGGAGGCCAGCAGTGAACTGAAAGAGCCCTTGTGGCTTCCTCTGCTTTCTCACAAAGTGGCCTAGCTTGTCTTGAAGAGCGAGTGGCCTGTGTGTGGTCTTCAGGTACTTACAAATATTTTGGATGTTTGTACTTCTGACCCTCACCTAGTTGAAGAGCTCAGGAGAATGACCAGCCCCCCCCCACTGTAAAGGAGTTCTTAGCTTCATTTATATGGAGTGGTGTCTCCATTTTTGGAAGTGACTTTTTAAAAACTTCTAAAAATTGAGTAGATGGCAGCAAAATATGAGGGAATGGAATTTTTCCTCCTCTGTAGCCATCCTACCCTGTGGAGACCAGAGTACGGCAGTTACATGATTGCCCCCCCACCCGGACAGCCGTATGGAGGAACGATGTCCGAGTTCAACACAGTCGAAGACAACCCCCCCAAACGTCGGAAGGAAGCAACTTCTTTATTAGGAGAAAACCAGGCTCTCTGTACACCCCCCCCATTTCCCAGGTTAGTTCCTAAATGAACATGCCCCAGCAGATCGTTCAGAGCTTCCCCCCCTAAAGGAACAGATCATGACCCAAGCATTTGACCGTACAGTTCTCCTACTTTACACCCCCCCCATACTTTATATGCTTCATTTGATAGAATCTGTAATGTTAGAGCCACAGGCAAAACTTGTATGCCAGTTTCAGCAGGTGGGTGGTGGCCCGGGGCACTGTGGTGAGAGCATTCGTCTGGCCTCAGTGGGCAAGACCGTGGGGACCCCCGTGACTGCTCGCATCGTGGCGGTATCCACCCCCCCCCGGGGTGGAGGGAGCGGCACATCTGCCAAGCAGTTCTGACCCTGTAAGGAGTACCCCCCCCTGATGATTATCAGGTGCTCTTCTCCCTCGACTCTCACCGTTGCTTCCTCGGGCCTGTCTGCCTGCTGGCACGTGCTGGTGCCCGTGGCTGGTGGGATGGTCACCTGGTGGAGGGTTGGCATCCGTGCTCCCAGGCCACTGCTGATACATCCTGACTGTGAACAAGGGGGGTCATTCCCCCCCGTTTGAGTCTTGTGTTGAAAAGGAAATTTACAGGTTGCCATCAAATCTAGTTATCCCCCCCAGTTGCTAAAAATAAATATAAAAAAACCCATAAATAGTGAAGTTATGCTCTTAGCCCCCCCAAGGTACATAAATATCGTACAGTTACACATAGGAGCTCTGCATAGGAATGCAGTCCCCCCCAATTGTAAATCTGACTTACCTGTGCTACCTAGCTGTCAGATTGTGGCAAAGTGTGCTTCCTCGCCAGGGTTCAAAAGAGCTTTGGGGATTGGTATCCATAGACTGAAACACTTAGCCCCCCCTTTAGACCCTCCCTCTTTTTTCTGATAAATGTCCATAATGAACTCAGGCATTCGCCCCCCCACCACTGGTCTTGGAAGGGATTTTCTTTTTAAAAATCTTCAGTGTAACATCTAACCCCCCCAAACCCTATTTAAGTAACTCAAACATTTAGAAATACATCTCTTATTTTTCTGTGCCCCCCCTGTTCCATTAGGCAGGCCATTCCCTGCTTCCTGCCAGAAGAAAAGCCCCAGCTGCCCCCCCGTGAACAGGTTTGCTTGGAAGAGAGTTGGCATAGTCCTTTGCCCCTAGTGTTTTAAGGAGGAGGTAAAAAAAAATATCATGACTCTGCCTTTCACTGATACTTGAGAGCGTGCTCCATGCCAGACCCATGCAGTGTGGGGATGCAGTCATGAATACAAAGAGACACACAGTCTTTCCCCCCCCGGAGACTGAGTGATCAGATAGCCACAGATCTAGGGAATATAAAGTTGAGGAAGCCCCCCCAGGAAAAGATGCGGAGCAGAGAGTGAGACGTGGTTGTCAGTGGGACGTGGGACGCCCCCCCCAGTGGGACGTGGACTCTGCGAGGTGGGGAAGAGGGTTGGAGTGATGTCCAGAGCCCCCCCAGGCGTTTACTACGAGTGGGGAGGGGAGGGGCAGCCTAGAGAGAGTGAGCAGAGCGGGCAGATGTTCCAGCATGAACAGGGAGAGCACGGAGCCTCTCGAGAACCAGAAGAAGGCTGGCCGGTGGGGCCAGGACGCTGACAGGGAAGAGGAGGCTGGGCAGGTAGTTGGTGGGCCGCCCCCCCTTAACTGAGAATTTGGGTTGCTATCCTAAAAGCAGTAGGAGTTATTATAAAGGGCCCCCCCAGACAGAGGAATACGTTTTATTCTAAAAATCTAATTTTTTTAAAAAGCTTATTTTTTGATGGGAGGGTATTTTTGGACTTGTAAACAAAACAAGAATAATAATTATTTAGCTGAACCCCCCCTGAAAGTTGCTAAAAATAAATATAAAAAATATTAAAAAACCCCATAAAGGAGAACCCCCCCCTTCTCTCAGTTGTAAATGATAAGGAAAGTTTTGTTTTGGCATCAAGAGAGAAAGGAGTACTTGGTTTCTTAAGTGTAAACAGTGTGATTTTTCTCTGTAAAGAGGCAAAACTCTCCCCCCCGGAGCTATAATCCAAAACAGTGGCCAAGTGAATATTTAAATTTAAATTAATGACACTTAAATAGAAATTTTAGTTTCTCAGTCACACTAGGCTCAGTACAGGTGCTCACTAGGCACCCCCCCTGGACACACTGGTATTGGACAGGGTGGACATGAACCCTTCCCAGTGCTGCAGAACCCCCCCTGGGATGGTGCCAGTCTGGAAGAAAAACAGTGCTGTAGGAGTCTGAGGATCAGACCCCCCCCTGCCTTTGTCCTGCCAAACACATTTTCATTCTCCCTCCATTCAGTCTAATTCTCCCCCCCTCAGAATCCCCAAGATTGAAGTCTGCCACTCTTACAGGACTTTCCCTAAGTTTGCCCCCCCCTAGTAAATAATGCACACAGCTGCAGGAATTCTCAGGAACCTTCATTATAGCTGCCCCCCCTTTTCCAGATAAGATCAGCAAATTCCATTGTTGTTCACAAGGCGGATATGGGCACCCCCCCGGTGCTTTATTTTATAAAAGGTAGGGGCTGAACATAAGGCATGGGTAGTCTTGGCCCCCCCGCCAAGAGTTTCCTACCACTGATCTAAAGCCCTGACAAGAGCCTCCCTTGTTTTCCCCCCCCAAACTTTGTCGGTCTTTGTCCTCTCTCACAGCACATTTAACAATGACCTTAAACCCCCCCACTTGAAGAGCTGGATGTGGAATTTGAACTTTACTTTTAGGGATAAAGACAGAGGTTCCTTTTTCTGTGTTGGAATTAAAGCTCTTGGTTAGGTCAAGTAAGAGAATAGGGTTGGCCCCCCCACATCAGAGGGAGATCTCAGGGGCGGATGGGGACACCTGTAGAGACATTACCTAATCCTGAGGGACTCATGCGGTGATCTGTAGAGGCAAAAAGCAGAAGAGCCCTTTGATATTTCCCCCCCGCTTATCAACAGGTTGGGGGCAGTGGGGCTGTGCAGGGGTCAAAAGACAATCAGATGAGAGATGAGATGGTAAAGGAAGACCATCGGACGCTGTGTAGGGGGAACCCATAGCCTGCCCCCCCTGTCGTGACCTAGCCGAGGGACTTCTGTGCCGTTGATGCTGTTAAATGAAGAGATGGATAGGACGTGAAGAAGCACTCTAGAGATCCCGAGTGAATGGATAAAGTCTCTAACAGGCTGTAATCACCAAAGATGTTGGTGAGGAAGACCAAGTACAAGGGGGGTGTTTGTAAAGCACCCCCCCCACACAGCATTCATGTGCTAGACCCCCTGGAGGCGGGGGGAAGTAGACGGGTGTGCCCCCCCCTTAACAGGTGCAGTGATGGCGAGACATTATTAACTTTTGAAAACAAATCCTACCTACTTAGTTCTTCAATTTGTTGTAGATTAGGCTGTCCTGGGTTCACGCTGCCAGAGTTCACCCCCCCTCCAGTTGAAGGAGGAGCTTCCAAGTCCCTCTTCTTTCCTGATGAAGCCATAAACCCCCCCCCCCGCTTCAGGTGAGTATGGCTCTGCCTTTAAACACAGGTGTCCCTCATTCTTACCCCTGCCTGCTGAGAGTAAGGCGCTCCTTCCTAGAATCCTTGCTGAGCGCTTACTGAACTCAGCCTCCTGTTGTAACGAACCGGACAAGCCAGCAGGATATGCACATGTGGCTGCTTGATCCCCCCCTCTTAGCGCACAGTTCGACTTGCCCATGTTACAGGTCACCTTAACGTCATTGGCCCCCCCCCTGTCATCTTTAGTGTACAGATTTTTTTGGTCCTAGTTTTATAAGCACCTATTTGGGGAAGTTTTCTCTTAGTTATTCCTACCTTTTCTCCCCGTCTCTGTGATCTCATTCCACTCCCCCCCCTTTCATGACAAGGCAAGATATGTACAACTCTTTACCTTCTATTCTATTAACTTCCCCCCCTAGTAGCTTGTAGTTTCATTCCTGGGTTCAAAGTGGCTTCAGGGCCCACACCAGTCTGATCTTGCTTTGTACCTTGAATCTTCTCTATTGTCCTAAACTAGGCTCCTGACCTGCACCCCCCCACCTTGGGACTTGTCAGTGTTGATTCCTTTGACAGGTCTGCACACCTGTTAACACCCCCCCTCTTTTGATGGAACAGATTTATAGATGGAGTTTCCAACTTCAAATGTTACAGTGCCCCCCCGGGGAAAATAGATTCAGCTGCAAGAAAAGATAAGATCATGCTGGATGCCAAAAGCCCCCCCTATCAGAGACACTCCTCAGAGAAAGGAGAGGATGCTTCTGACGGAGGGGATCCTGGCAGCCATGGGAAAGAGCTGGTCCGCAAGCGGAGTCTGCATCACCACTGTCCACTAGAATCCCCCCCGCCTCAGATGTTTTAAATTTTCTAACAGTCACATGAAAAAAGTAAAAAAGATAACCCCCCCTTTATTATATATGTTTAGTCTTTATCCAAAATTATTTCAACATGTCAATATTTTTAAATTATTGATAAGACATTTTAATACCTTATTTTTGTGTTTTGTGGTAAGTCTTTAAAATCTGGTGTGTATATTATCCTCACAGCATATTTTAATTAGGACTAGCCCCATTTCAGGTGCACCCCCCCCACAGTGTGCCTGGTGGCTTCTGGATTAGACACTGTGGGTCTAGAGAATAGGTATTAATACTGCCAATTGGGAGGGACAGTAATAAGGTATTGGAGCTCCAGAGATGCCTAGGGAAAGTAAGTATTAAAGCTTGAAGTCTTCAGAGTAGACATGGGGAGCGTTAGAAACATATGGTGAGGGCGCCTGGGTGGCTCAGTTGGTTAAGCGACTGCCGGCGGCTCAGGTCATGATCCTGGAGTCCCGGGATCGAGTCCCGCATCGGGCTTCCTGTGCTCAGCAGGGAGTCTGCTTCTCCCTCCCCCCCCCTTCCCTCTCAGGCTCTCTCTCTCATTCTCTCTCTCTCACATAAACAAATAAAACCCCCCCAAAAAATAAAAAAGAAAAGAAACATATGGTGAGACCAGACCACCGGCAGACCCCAGACACTTGAATTTGATTTGAGAAGTTACAGCAAGTTGGGGTATCTGGGGTTGAACAGGGGCGAGAATGGCATTCTTGAGCAAGAGGCAGAGGAAGTGGTGTTAATGCAAAGCCTTCTCACACCCCCCCCCCTCAGAATATCTTGATCCACATAAATATTCTGTAGGATTGCCTCAGAGAATTAGTTTGAGGTAGGATTTCATTCTATTTACTTGTATATGATCAAATTCTTCTTTTACATGGTCCCCCCCAGGAGGCAGATTTATGACGTTTGGTTGTCTTTCAGTACCCTAACAAGAAATATCCCCCCCCGGAGAGGAGAAAAGGTTGTCATCAATGTACCAAGTAAGTCCATAGCGCATGGTGCCCCCCCAGAGGCACCTGGGGAATTGCTGTTTAATTCTTGAATCTCACCCTTGTCCCCCCCCCCCCCCTTTTCTTTAATATAATCCTACAGTATTTAAGGACAAGAATACACCCTCTCCATTTATAGAAACATTTCCTGAGGATGAGGAGGCAGCCAAGGCTTCTAAGCCTGATCATATTTACATGGATGCCATGGGATTTGGGATGGGCAATTGCTGTCTTCAGGTATTGTTTCAAATACACAGAGAGGCAGAGTGCCCTCATCCATTTCTACTTGCTAGTTTTCTTTATAGATTCGCATTTTTTATAATTACATTGTAATCAGGTTGAAATGAAAGCTCTAAGTGTGCCTTTCTGAAAACCAGTCCCCCCCAGTAAATTCATTGGTAGCTATGGTAGCTCTTGATGGAGAATCTCCAGTTTCTACAAAGATAAATGGTTGTTACTTAACTTACAGTGCAAAATATTCCATGATCCCTGCCTCTGTTCTTTCTAGTGATGGTCGGGCCTAGAGCTTGTAACATCATTCAGATCTCTGTTTCTGAAAGTGACCTCTGGATGCACTCCAGTGACCTTGTGATCCAAGGGAAGGATTGTTTGGACTTGAAATGTTCATATTCAGGCAAGGCCATCTAGTGGTATAAAAAGAACTACTGAGCAGCCCGTGTTTGCCTTGCCCCTGGCGAAGTTACATAGGTAGTACGGCCTTTCTCTGTTTCCTCCGCTAAAACTTCCCGTGGATCTAGTCAGATGGCTGGTGCCCCCGGCAGGAACTGTACCCGAGCTCACTTAGGACCTGGGTGGGCAGGCACAGGACCCTCCTGGTGGCAGTGGGCCTGTGCTTGGCCTGCAACAGGGCCTCCTACTCGTGGGTTTGGGTAGCTCTCCTCACTTCTTTTCATCTTGGTTTTCTCCCCCCCCCACTGGAAGGTTTATATTAAATCCCTTTCTAGGTCTGACTCTAAGCTAATATTTACTTTGCTGTTTTTTATCAATAGAAGTGTTTGTTTTAACCTTTCCTTTGCTTAAAATCATAACCCCCCCAGTAGGAATTGCACAAAGTATAAAGTGAAAATTGAAAACTTCCAGTAAAAAGGCCACTTGTTATTGTCCAAGGAGATTGTATACAGTTCGGATTATTTCCGAAGATTAGAAGTGGCCCCCCCAGAGGCCTGGAGTAGTGTGAAGCCTAGCCCCACATGAGTCACTGGGCCTCCAGTCTGCCCAGTCTCCATCCAGAGGCCAAAAAACTCTGCATTCCCATCATCTCAAGACAGTTGCCCCCCCCACACGCGCCTTCTTGCACATAAGGCTCTGATGTGCCTATTTTTACAGCTCTGTACCCCCCCCATTGAATGCCAGAGTCCGATTGCTCCATGCTGAATGTGTTTACATAACCATCACCCCCCCTTCCTGATTTTCCTGACTCACAAAGGCAGTATAAAATGTGTGGTCTTCCAAAAACCCCCCCCCAGTAAGTTTCCTTACAAAGGGTCACATTTCATAAAAAAGAGACCTTTTACCTGCATATCTGCTTTTCTATCTTAATTACAAATGTTTTTAAAGGGAACCGTTAAGGTCTAGAACTTACAGTGCATGGCTTTAAAATTGTATCAGTGCAATTGGAGTACTGATTGCCTTTTCTCGGTTTAATATTAAACCAGAGTGCCCGGCCAGGGACAGCACAGTTACTTCATTCCAAAGGGATAGTCTTTCTCTTGAAATACCATACAAATAAATGTGTTCTAACATTTTTATTACCTGTAGATGCGATTGTCCATCCAAATTTACGCTTTGTCATGGGTTTAGGATGAAGTTTTCTTTTTGTTGATAGCACGGCCACGACCCTACTTTGAATACTCCACTTAAAAAATTATTAGCATGAGGAAGAATGAAGGGGAGTAAGTCGGAGGGGGAGACGAACCATGAGAGACGATGGACTCTGAAAAACACCCCCCCGGTTCTAGAGGGGAGGGGGTGGGGGGATGGATTAGCCTGGTGATGGGTATTAAACCCCCCCCATTCTGCGTGGAGCACTGGGTGTTAGGCACAAACAATGAATCATGGAACACTACCCCCCCAGCTAATGATGTAATGTATGGTGATTAACATAACAATAAAAATTAAAAAAAAATTATTAGCATGAATCACATAAAGTTTATGGGAAATGAGATGAATTCCACACATCACCACAGACCCCCCCCTGCTTTGTGTCTCTCAAGTGGAAAACTAGAAGCTGCTTGTTAAAATAAAGCAGAAAATGTTTTAAAGTAATTTTTTAAGGTTAATGGAAGACTTTACAAAACAAAGTCACATAATCACACTCAAATGCTTGACTCTTGGGGAGTTTTCCAGGAATCATTTAATAAGTTCATGCACCCCCCCCTAGGTATTTCCCCCTCTAAGAAAAATCAGGTAGCTTCAAAAATGGGTTCTAGGTAAATTTTAGATTAGACATTTAGTTTTCTAACATCTATTTTTCATACTTCCTCTTTTATTCCCCCCCCCTTCCTAGTGACACTGCTTCTCTTATGAGGTACTTTAAAGGGACACCAGAAGCCACCCCCCCTCATACTTTTGAAGGCATAAGAACTGCCCCCCTCCCCCGCAAGCCATTAACCACAGTCATGTCCTGTTTGATTTGGAGATATATTAGCTCTAGAGTGCTGAAGCCAGTTACTAAATATATGTAGAATAAGTCACTTCACTGTTGTAACTTAACTGTGGAATTCCAGGTGCGAATTTCCCCCCCCATACTTTTTTCCAGGATTTGCCTGTGAATTGTCTAGTAAATACTAGGTTATCTCCCCCCCGCCAGTCTGTCCCAGCAGAGAAGTATGTAAATACTTGGCTTACTGTCTCCCGTTTCCTCACTTGACATTTTATCCTTAGACTTGCACAAGCTGATTTGAGTTCCCATCTCTTTGCAGAAACTGCCCTTGTTTTGGTGAAGAGTGACCCAGTTGCCAGCCCTGCTTAGTCTCTTCCTTTAACCTTTGATACTCTTATTCCTTGAGGTCTAGGACACAGCTCTTCTCTATGTTGTATTAATTTGTAATGGCTGGTTAATTGCCAGGACATTTTAATTAAAATATAGCATTGAATCATTAACAGAAATTATAGCAAGTTGTCTAAATAATTATTTTTCTGTAGTTACCACACTGACATGAATATAGTTCTCCAGGTAGACGGTGAATCTCCTAACAGAAGTTCTTTGTTAAAAAAGCAAAATTGAGACCTGGCTAAAACTGGGAAATAACAGGTTGGGACTATAACAATAAACATATTCACTTTCCCCCCCTTTCAAGGATTAAGCCCTTAAATTATTTCCTGCACCAACACTAAATTCAAAATACCCCCCCTAGATAACAACAGAGGACAGGAAAACTGTTCCCCATTTGCAGTTAATACGGATATGCTAACACAACCAGGATTTGTGTTCCCAGTCCCTTCCACTGCTCGCCACCCCAAGGCAGGCCCCCCCTTTTTGGTTTCTTTTGGGTAACTGTTTCTAGAACATTTGTACTAATGAATGATACCCCCCCTTTTTTTCTCTGCCTAACTCTGAAATGTTCTACTTACCCCTCTTCTGCAGGCTTCCTGGGTGATCCTGCCCATCTTCAGAACATTATCTGAGCTTCCTCCCTAAATACTTCTCCACCCCCCCCTTGTCTTCTGGGCATTAGCCCTGGAGACCCAGCCACTTAAAGGGTTTCTTTACCTGCTCCTTTCCTTCATATGCCCATTGTGTCTTGGTGCCTCTGCTCACTGTCTGTCCCAGGAACACCCAAGCCAGAACCGAAGTCACACCTTCATTCTCTCTACCCACCCTGGCTCCCAGCACCCCCCCCTTTGACTCCGGTGTGCCTCCACCTGCAGCCCTCCTCGGTTATGTCCTTGTTGGCTGCAGTATTTTAACTGCTCTCCCTTCCTCCAGTCTCGCTGTGTCCCAGGCTATTCCTTGTCCCCCCCACCAGTGAGCTTTGAAATCCATTATAAGCATCTCTCTCCTTTTGTACCAAAATTTCTCTAACCCTTGAGCTAACTGAAGTGCCTGGAATGCTGTTGAGGGAAATAAGTCACGGCGCCCCCCCTGCTGAATTTGCCGTTTACCTAGTGTTTTCCTTTCCTTTCCTGACATTTTAATCTTATTTAACTTAGGAAATGGTTATTTATATTAGTTGTGAACATGATCAAACCATTGTTTGGCAAAATTCATCCAAGGCAACTTTTAAACAAAACTGCTGTGTTAATAAGTGTTGTTAGTTGGCCCCCCCCCGTTGCACACCATGCCCTCTGTCTTCCCTGGCCATCCTCCTCCTCAGACTCGACTCCTTGGGGAGGATGTTGATGATTCATCATTGTTAATAACCTGTAATTTTTAAACAGGTACCCCCCCAAGCCTGCAGCATATCTGAGGCCAGATACCTGTATGATCAGTTGGCCACTATCTGTCCAATTGTCGTAAGTAGAAACGACATCTTACTTAAATAAGACTTCTTTGTAGAGAGAGTGCTTGTGCAACATTTGCTGACTCTGTGCCATTTAAGTCCAGTTAAGACTTCATTCAGAAATCCCCCCCCATAAATAGTTTGCATTTAGAGCTAATGGACTAAGACTCCAAGCTGTAGAAGTTCCCCCCCGCTAGTAAGACATCTGTGTGTTAAAGTGTCAAGTTTGAGTGTAGCCGCTTCCCCTCTCCTGTCCTTCACATTCAGCGTGACAGAGGGGGGATGATTAAATGAATCCCATCCAAGGGTTTGAGTCCCTTTTGGTATCTTTCACTATGAAAAAGCAAGCACAGAGGAATAGAGCTCCACCCCCCCCAACTAAACTGATTCTTCTAGACCAGAGATAACTGCATGGTGCTTTTCTCAGCATGTAAGTGACACTTTGAACCTGCAGGTGCTGACTCTTGTTTGTTTTTAGATGGCTTTGAGCCCCCCCCCTCCTTTTTACCGAGGCTATGTGTCTGACATTGATTGTCGCTGGGGAGTGATTTCTGCATCTGTAGATGATAGAACTCGGGAGGAGAGAGGACTGGAGGTGGGAGTGATTTTCCTCCCCCCCCTTTTTTTTAAAAATCAAGCAGGTAAAATGGGGTTATTGTAACTACTTATGATGCCCCCCCCTCCCTTAAATGTTTATCTTTAGTGGTTTAGTCACAGGTGGGAAGAAATTCACAGGTTATAAACTTGTCTTTGATGTCATAGTGTTTGTTTGGGGGTGAATATATAGGAAACATGATTTGGTTGGGGTAAGGAGTTTCCATCACTTTTTGAAATCTCTATTTGTTTCCTCCTCTTCCCCCCCCTAGTGATGCTTTTTTTCCCCCTATATTTTGGAACTAAGTGCTGATGGGCTGTTGTTACCAAAAGGCTTTTTGACACTACATGAGTGCTTTGTATATGAGCTTTCTGCTGTGGAATCCCCCCCCAAAGATTATTTTGCCCCATATAAAGGGTTAGATTTGCCTAATAAGGGTAGGTTCCCCCCCCTTGTTGGCATGTTGAACTGTGACTGTGTACCTCTCCAACCTGGAGTGTACATCAAAACCACCTATGAAGATCTTTAAAAATAGACACCCAGGCCCATTTTAGATCTAATAAACAAGTATCTCCAGAACTGGGACCTGGACACGGTTTTTAAATGAGCCTCTGATGTTCTCAACCAGGGCTGCACTGGTCTGCTCTGGTCTTCATGTGAGTGCTCGTAAATTGTTGAACATGTTGCCTAAGTAGAATAAAACTTTAAGGGACAAATGATTTTAATAGCTCTGTTTTACGTTAATAGGTTTGCTTTCAGCCTTGGCATATATTTTCCTAGCTTAATAAGAATGAAGGCACTCTGCTTTAAAAAAAAAAAAAAAAGTATACTTATATCAGAGAGCAGCTACTCCAGTTACTTCCAGATTTTTCCCCCCCAATTTTCCCTGATAACTTCTCAGGATTAACTTTTTTTCAGGTTGGATATTTATACCCCCCCATTACATATAAAACATAAAAGCATTTAAGTAGAACTATTTGGGGCATTAGTTTATTTCCAGAGCATTTTATATGACAGTCATTAGTATTTTTCTTTCAATTTTAGCCACTGAAGAACAATAACTATAGGATCAGTAAGTCCCGATACGATTCGATAGACAGTTACTTATCTGAGTGCCCCCCCAAATACAATGACATCGACTTGACGATAGATAAAGAAATCTACGAACAACTGTTGCCCCCCCGTGAGCAGCCACTCCTTTCCTCTAGATTTGATTGTACACTTTTAGTTATTCAAAGCTCTTTAGAACTTGTTGCTGACTTCTGGTCTGGTTTCTATTTTTAGTGTGAAGTCTCTTACCCCCCCTTATGAGGCTGCTTGTTCCTAAAGTTTCAAGTTCCAAATACTTGTGAGATCTTCCCCCCCCTTAGCAAAGGAACTTACTTTGGAGGTCTGTATCTAGGTCCACACCAGTGCCCCACCAGGCATTGTGTAAGTAGCAAAGAAAACTCTGGCACTTCCTCAGGGTCTGTAGGATAAAACCCTGGGCGACATGCAGATACTGAACAAACCAGCCACTTCCTAAGCTTCTAGATGCCCTGTCCCCCCCCTTGCTGAGCTGTCCTGTCTTCTTACTGGACTTAGACACAATGGAGCCTGTGGCCCCCCCCGGAGTCTGGTGTAACCTCTCTTGACAGGCATTGATCGTCTCCTGGCCCAGCATGTTGCTCATCTCTTCATTAGAGACCCACTGACTCTGTTCGAAGAGAAAATACACTTGGATGATGCCAATGAATCTGACCATTTTGAGGTATCACCTCTGTTTTAAATGCATTGCACTTCACTACCCCCCCTGGAGGCCATTTTCTGTACCTGTGAGCAGTTAGTTATAGGAGAAATCTCTGACGCCCCCCCCTGTCTAGTGCAATAAAGAATTAAGAAATTTTAGATGGGTTTAAAGTACGCTTTATGATTCTGACAAGTTATATCTGATTCTGTATTTTCTCTTGATTGCAGAAAGGTGTAAAATTCAAACTTGCTGCGTAAAAAAAATGGCATCAATTATTTCTGTGCTGCTAACATATCACCCAACTTTTGTTAAACACTTTGTTTTCCTAGTAGGTCACACACCAAGGAAATGCTACACTGTACCCCCCCCTATTTGTAAATTAGAGTATTTGGTATCAGCAATGAATAATTTTCCCTTATTAAATATCAAACCATCTTAATATTTTCCTGGACATGTGGAAAGTTGGTTTTATTTTCTGCTTTTTTTATTATAGAATATTCAGTCCACAAATTGGCAGACAATGAGATTTAAACCCCCTCCTCCAAACTCAGATATTGGATGGAGAGTAGAATTCCGACCCATGGAGGTAAGATGCACATCAGCAGGAAGTGATTGGATCATGCCCGTCCTCTGTCCATTACCCTTCTAATGCTCTTCTCAGAGGCTCCCCCCCTAACAAATCAAATCTGTGCATGATAAAAGCAGGTCCAAAACCTAAAGCTTGACTCCCCCCCATAGCTTGTGGACAGAGGGCTTCCAAGCCCCACGTGGTGAAGTAGGAGCTGGCTTGGGCATGACATGATCTGAGGAGGGGCCTGTCGGGGAAGAGCATGTTTGTGTCATTGGTCCATAACTTCTCTGGGCTCCTGCTTGTCTAGGTTCAGTTAACAGACTTTGAGAACTCTGCATATGTGGTGTTTGTGGTGCTGCTTACCAGAGTGATCCTTTCATACAAACTGGATTTTCTCATTCCACTATCAAAGGTAAGAATGTGTTTTGGTATAGTGATGGGTTTGGGTATCTACAGATTATCCCCCCCTGCTTATTTATGTATAATATTTTAGATCTGACCTGATTGAGAATTTAGAATAAACCCCCCCCTCCTCTACCCTATTCTTTTTCCTTTTAAACCAAAGCTTATGCTGTAGATTTTGCCCCCCCGTTAGTAGAGATTCCTGAAAAACAAAAAGTGCTAACAGTAGCTCCTTAGCCTGTTTGAAAGAGATTTAGGGTTGCTTTTGTTGTTGTTTGTTGTTGTTTTTTTAAAGATTTTATTCCCCCCCCAGAGAGAGACAGCGAAAGAAGGAACACAAGCAGGGGGAGTGGGAGAGGGAGAAGTAGGCTCCCCGCTGAGCAGGTAGCCCGATGTGGGGCTTGATCCCAGTACCCTGGGATTATGACCTGAGCCGAAGGCAGACGCTTAACGACTGAGCCACCCAGGTGCCCCTTAGGGTTGCTTTTGAATAACTACTTTATTTCTAGAAGCTTTCAATTTAGGATGATGGTTGGAGAGAATCCACCCCCCCCTTTCATCCTCCCCCAAATGCCGTTTTGGTTATGATATTAAAATAGGAGAGGGGCAAGTGTAACTGCTGGGATGCAGGGAAAGGTCACCTCAGTGGAACCAAACTGGAGATGTTTCTGGAGAAGGTAGATTGGACTATCAGAAAAACAACTACTAGTTCATCAGCTCCAGCCCAATAAAAACTCAAAATGGAGCTCTCTGGAAGCAGTTTCCCAGCAGAGCCTTGGAACAATTCCACACTGTGAGGCAGCAGCTAACTAACTGGAGACCTTTGTTTCCAGGGCCAGCGGGTCCCTGGGCCCCCCCCGTGGCTGGGAAAGGTTGCTGGGCTCAGTGAAGGGTCTGCTGAGGATTTAGTGCCAAGGAAAGGAGAGGTAGGGCAGCCCTGTCAGAGCAAGCACAGAAGGAAAAAAGAAATGCCTAGCTCAGCCTCTGTCCCACCTCACTCCCTACTGTCTCCATGAGGGGGATCTCCAGCCTGTACCTGTCCCACCTGCACACCCTGATGGAAGTTTGGCCGTCAGCCTGTTTCTGCCTGCTCTTACCCCCCCGGCCAAAAGTAACCCATAGGATTCTATGGGCCATTTGCCCATACAGGTATACCTGCTAGGGGGATCAGCCCCTGTAAGGAAGAGTCCCTGGAAGTTCTCCATCTACGCCTTCGTTCCCCCCCATGAATAGATGTCTGAAAATCAGTGGAAAATGGATAACTTTTAATGCCTTAAGGGAAGGGCCCAGTTGGGCTTACAGAATGCATTCCCCTCAGTGAAATATAGTTAATTCAAGCACCCCCCCAGAATTCTTAAATTCTGACTAGTGCCCTTGAAAAAATTCTAGAGAAAATAACCACCCCCCCTGGAGGAGAGGGCATTTGGAGAAGAGTTCTTAGAAGAAGCTACCCTTTTAAAACTCAGTATATTCACCAGTTAGAGCCGATGATGTTAAAGATCCAAGTTAATAATCTAGGAACCCCCCCCCGATTTATCTCAGGATGACAAGGAAATGGAAATCACGGAAAAACTGAAACATGGAGAATTACTCTGGAAAGTTCAATGTTTACAATCATTTAGAAGAGAATGGTCTGTATAAAAAAATGAGATCCAGTAATCCGAGAAATAGAATTTTCCCTGAGAGTCCATAAAGGATGGGACAGAAATATTTAAAGAACCCAAATCTAGGAATTTCTGAATCCTAAAGAAGAAAATCAGCCATCTGCCCCCCCGAGAAAATTCAGATCAGATAGCTCCAAGAGGAAAAAAAAAAAATGAGTTGATATCCCCCCCCATCTCCAACATTAAATGCTGAGATGGAGAAAAGTCTACAGAATCCTGAGGGGTAAAGAAAACAGAATTGTCTTCCCAAACTGGAAATTCCAGGTGATTCCATCAAAACTTAATAGATTATTAGTGCTAATAGTATGCCAGAACTCTTACCTACCAAGGGGATAGTGGAAGGAGATCCCCCCCACACTAAGAGTATAGACATAAGAATTTTTACTTCTAACCTGCTAGTTAAAAGGTGTGGGAAAAGAACAAAGAGAACCTTTTCAGTGCCACAAAAGTTGGGGGTGGGGGAAGGGAGCCCCCCCATATAGCCCAGAGAACATAAAATGGTGAAAATAAGATGAAAACAAATGTGAATACCCCCCCCTGTCTTGTTAAAAAGCTAAAACAGATGATATAAAAGAGCAACATAATGGTGTAGGTGTTTGCATCCCTAAAACAAGACAAGAACTGGATAATGACCTTTTAAAGAGAGAGCAGAAATGACAAATTGATAACAGACAAAAGTGTGAGAATGAAGTATTAAATAGAGAAAGCTGTTTCCCCCCCTCTTCCAAGATAGTAGTATTTTTGTTTTGTACCTTAAAGTGTAGCCGACCTTTCTCAGAAGCACAAAAGAATTAAAGGCACTGTAGTGTGGTGGCTCTGATGTGGCTGCATTGTGAGCATTAAATTCATAAATCACCTGTACTCCTTAACGGCTCTTTAACCTGAACGAGGTACTTCCCCCCCCAATGCCTCTGTTTGCATGTGTAGAACTGGGGATAAGTGGGCTGTTACAAGAACATGTGGGATTCATGGAGGTAAATCACTTAGAGTGCCTTGCCTGTTACTCAGTACCTGATAGCCCCCCCAACCAAAGAAAGAGAGGCTATTGGGGAATTAAATGGCACGGTTAATAAGCTGGCTTTGTATAGTCGTTCTCACAAATCTCCTACCACAGCACGTTTTTCCAAGTGCCCTAAGGAAGATTTTCTTCACTTCTCAAAGGTAAACACCATGCAGGAGGCATTCCCACCAAAATTCAACACCCCCCCGTTCAAGAGAAATTTAACTGTTGGAAATCTAAAATTGCTTTCCTTGTAGGTATTAAATGAACTCAAAACTAGGATGCTGGCAAAGCTAGTCTCTAAAGGGAAAATCATAGCTTTAAATACTTAAGAGATTTAAATTAACCTTAGCAGTCAAACTGAGAATCTAAAGTGCAGTGGTAAAGTATACTTCTAAAGAGAAATTCATAAAAGCAAAAATTAAAACAGTGATCTTTAGGAACTTTTGTCAAGAGTAAGAAAAAAATATCAGAAATGAAAACTTGTTCATAGCCATGATAGATTACCCCCCCATTTGGATATGTTCGTAGAAGTGTCTGTAGATTATTCAGGAGGTCATGTGTCTCCCCCCCCAAAAAAACAAAAAAAAAAAAACCATAACAACAGAAATTGAGTATGGGAGACAGGCCCCCCCATCAAATACTTGGCACCATCCATCCTAGTTCAGCATGACCCTTTAGCTTATATACCCCCCCATTCTCCTAAATTTCATTATGGGAAATAAGAGACTAAAAAGTGTTACAAGCTCTACGTCAAGGGTCTTAAAAAGTCACTGGAAAAATAGAAAATTCACAATCAAGAGTTTTTTGTACATGGAGACTAATGAGAATAAAAACACAGTGGTCCAAATTTGGGAGACAGAGTATTAGTGCCCCCCCCCTACCACAAGAAACAAGAAAAATTCCAAAGAGCCTTACGCCTAAAGGGACTAGAGAAAGGAGAACAAAGCCCAACATGAAGAGGAAGGAAATACAGCTCAGAACAAATAAATGAAATAGACACTAAAAAAATAGACAAGATCAGTGGAACCAAGAGCTGGTTCTTTGAAAAGATAAATGAAATTGAAACACCTTTAGATTCCTCAAGTAAAGGAGAATACAGGTAAAATCAGAGATGAAAGAAAAGTAACAGCTGACACCACAGAAATACAAAGGATTATAAGAGACTACTACAGAAAATTATATGCCAACAGATTGGACAAATAAGAAATGGATAAATTCCTAGAAATAGTATATTCCAAAACTGAATCCAGAAGAAATAGAAAATCTGAACAGACCAAATACTAGTAATGAAGATGAACTGATAATCCAAAAACTCAAAAGTCCAGATGGATTTACAGGTGAATTCTACCAAACATTTAAAGAAGAGTTAATACCTATTTCCCTCAAACTGTTGCAAAAAAATAGAAGAGGAAGAAGAGCCCCCCCATACATTCTATGAGGCCAGCATTACCCTATTACCAAAACCAGATGAAGATGTATCCCCCCCTATCTTTGATGAACAGAGATGCAAAATCCTCAATAAGATATTAGAAAACCATATTCAACACATTAAAAGGATCATTCACCATGATCAAGTGAGATTTATTCTGGGGATGCAAGGATTGTTCAGTAGTTGCAAATCTGTCAATGTGGTACACCACATTAATGGAGTGGAAGATAAAACCCCCCCTTTCAGTGGATGCAAAAAAAAAAAAAATGGCAAAATTCAACATCCATTCATGAATACTCCCAACAAAGTGGGTTTAGAGGGAACATAACTTAATAAAGGCCATATATGAAAAACCCACGGCTAACATACTCAATGGTGAAAAACTGAGAGCTTTTCCTCTAAGATCAGGAACAAGACAAGGATATCTATTCTTATTACCACTTTTATTCAGCATAGGACTGGAAGTCATCCTAGTCCCAGCAATCTGACAAGAAAAAGAAATAAAAGGCATCCAAATTGGTAAGGAGTAAGTTAAACTCATTTGCAGATGACATGATCCTATATAGGAAACTCTAAAGACTACACCAAAAAAACTGAGGTAATAAATGAATCAGTAAAGCTGTAGGATCTAAAATTCAGAAATCTGTTGCATTTCTATACACAATAACAAAGCAGAAAGTAAAATTTATATACAATTAAGCAAAAAAGAAAATACCTAGAAATAAACTTAACCAAGGAGTGAAAAACCTGTACTCTGAAAACTATAAAACAATGATGAAAGAAACTGAAGGTGACACTAACAAATGGAAAGACATACCATGCTTATGGACTGGAAGAATATTGTTAAAATGTCCCTACTAAAACAATCTGCAGATTCAGTGCAATTCCTATCAAAATACCAATAGTATTTTTCATAGAATAATCCTAAAATTTGTTTGGAACAACAACAAAAAAACCCTCCCCCAAATAGCCAAAGCAATCTTGAGAAAGAACAAACAAAGCTAGGGGTATCACAATCTGAGATTTCAAGATAGACTACAAAGCTATTATAGTTGAAACAGTAAGGTACTGGCCCAAAGGTAGACACCCCCCCCAGTGGAACAGAATAGAAAGCCCCAGAATAAACCCGCTCTTGTATGGTCAGTCTGTGACAAAGGAGGCAAGAATATACAATGGGAAAAAGACAGTCTCTTCAATAAATAGTACTGGGAAAACTGGACAGCAACATGCAAAAGAATGAAACTGAACCACTTTCTTAAACCAGATACAAAAATAAACTCAAGGTGGATTGAAGGCCTAAATGTGAGACCTAAAACCATAAAACTCATAGAAGAAAACATAAGCAGTAATCTTTGACATGTACCTTAGCAATATTTTTCTAGATACATCTCTCCCCCCCAGGGAAATGAGCAAAAATCTGTAACCACATCAAACTAAAAAGCTTTTGCACAGAAAAGGAAACAATCAGCAAAACAAAAAGGGAGCATGCTGAATAGAAGATAGCTGCAAATGTTATATCTGTTAATATGCAGAATATATATATAAAAATTTCAACATGCACACACACAAAACAAACCCCCCCTAAAAAATGGACAGAGGGCTTGAAAACACATTTTTCCAAAGAAGACCTGCAGATCCCCCCCAGACATGAAAAGTTGTTCATCACTCACTGTCAGGGATGTGCAAATCAAAACCACAATGAGATACCATCTTACACCTGTCAAAATGGCTAGAATAAAAAAGACAAGATATAGCAATGTTGGTGAGGATGAGGAGAAAAAGAAACCCTTTGTGCACTTTGGTGGGAATGTAAGTTAGCGGAGCTACTGTGGAAAACCGTATATATGGAGGTTCCTCAAAAAAATAGAATTGCAATATGACCCCCCCATTCCACTACTGGGTATTACTCGAAGAAAATGAAAATATTAATTCAAAAAGATAAACACCCCATTATGTTTATTGCAGCATTATTTACAATAGCCAAGATATGGAAGCGATCCAACCCCCCCTCCATAGATGGAGAAAAAAGATGTGGTTATATGTACAATGGAATAGTACTCAGCCGTAAAAAAGAATGAGATGTTGCCATTTGCAACAGCACGGATGGACCTAAAGAGTATTATTCTAAGTCAGAGAAAGACCAATTCCTTGTGATTTCACTTCTACATAGAATCTAAAAAAAAAACCCCCCCAAACAGAATCAGACCCTTAAATACAGAGAACAAACTGATGGTTGCCAGAGGGGACCCCCCCGGGGGGTGAGCAAAATGGGGAAGGGCAGCAGGTGGTACAGGCTTCCGGTTGTCAAGGACTAAGTCCTAGGGAGGAAAGCGAAAGCATGAGGACAGGGAATATAGTCATTGGTACACCCCCCCCGTTGTATGGTGACAGATGGGAGCTACACTTGTTGCAAGCACAGCATAATGGATCCCCCCCTTGAATCACTATTTTGTACACCAGAAATGAAGCTTTGATATAAGGTAGATACAGCCCCCCCGGACCCACAATCGCAGGCTCTGCTTCAACTGGTCTGGTGTGTGGCCTGGGCATACCACATGATCCAGTAGTCTTACTGCTGAGCGTATTTTTTTTTTCTTTTTTTCTTTTTTAAGTAGGCTCCATGCCCATCATAGAGCCCAGTGTTGGGCTTGAACTCAAGACCCTGAGATCAAGACCTGAGCTGAGATCAAGAGTCTGATGCTTAGCCAGTTGAGCCACCCAGGCGCTCCTGGGTATATATATATTTTTTTAAAAGTTTTTTGAGCTCATGTATAGTTGCAGTGGCCAGAACTACCCCCCCCCCCCTCTGTTCGTGGAGGGCTAACCTTATTCCATATCTGACAGCCTGTCGACTCTTTTCCTCTCCTCACCACAGTGAGGCAGCAAACCCCCGTGGTAGGGAGGTCACAGCACTGAACCCCCCCTTCTCCCTGGGTTCTCTGCCTTTGGTTACCCTGGCATCTTGGGCGAGTTGCTGTGCCGTGGGAAGAGAACCAACCCCTTGCCCTCCGGGGATTTCCTACTAGGCTCAGTCACAAACCCCCCCAAAGGGGTTTTGGAGTACAGGCAGCCCATGTGAATAAAAGTTTTTGTTGTGTTTCCCCCCCTAAACTTCGAATGCCCCCGTTCTTATTAAAAAGCACATGCCAATCCGTAGTTGGCCCCCCCAGGCCGCACATAAAAGTGAAAAGTCTGTTCCTCCAACAGAAAGCGTTGAAGGGGCCCCCCCAATTCTTATGGGGTGAGTCTTAATTGCAAAAGCGAGGAAGGCACCACAACTTCTCTGTTGGATCGAGAATGTTCTGACGTAGCCATGATTATTTTTCTCCCTTAGGTTGATGAAACCCCCCCAGTTGCACAGAAACGCGATGCTGTCTTGCAGGGAATGTTTTATTTCAGGAAAGACCCCCCCAAAGGTATTATATTCTCTTGGATTTCTAGGGCCACTTACTTTAGGCTACAGCACCCCCCCCAAGCGCCTCTGTCCTGTCCTCCGGCAGGTGGCACCGCCATGGTGGACGGCTACAGCAAGGCCCAGAGCAGCACGGACCAGGCAGTGGAGGAGTACACCCTGATGAGCATAGACACCCCCCCCAACGGGAAGGTAGGGGCTCTGCTCCACGCCCCTCACCGCCTCCACCCGTGACCACCCCCCCAATGGTGTGCCCTGCTTTTCGCAGGAAGCTGTGTTTCCTGGGCTGATCCCGATTCTGAACTCTTACCTCGAAAACATGGAAGTGGACGTGGACACCAGATGCAGTATTCTGAACTCCCCCCCGCTAATTAAGAAGAGAGCATCTGGTATGGCAGCCTTTGCTTTTTCTTTCTTGTTCCCCCCCTTAATGTAGGCAGAACCTTTACAGTCTTACAACTTCAGTTTCTTAACGTAGTCTCCCCCCCTATACCGCATTTTATCAGTGCATTCTTTTTCACACTTGATGTCTCTGCAGTGGGCCCCCCCTTATAATCGCTGACCATTTAATTAGCAGTGCTTTTTCTCGTGCCAGTTCATAAACCCCCCCATCTTTAAGTCCATAGCATCTTAGACAATGAACTGGAGTATCTAGATTGCCTATCCCCCCCTTATGGGTAGCTGTGTTTGTTGTACATCATCACGGGCTCTCTCTTTAGGGCTAACCCCCCCTAGGTTACAGGAGCGACAGCTAGGACGTCTGGTTCTTCAGCCTGCTTCTCATCCAGTGAGTGCCCCAAAACCCCTCTTGTTTTGTTTTGAGATCACATTGATGGTGCCTAACAAGGGCCTGGCACAAGGGAGCAGTCAGCTGTAAGAGTAACAGTAATGGCGTCTGACATTTCCCTTGAGACTTTGATGAACTTTCTGGAGTCACATAAGATATACCCCGAAACGGCATGTCTGCCACCCCCCCCCTTCATTCTACTTAACTATTCCTCTCCACCTCTTTGATCCAAGAGGGTTCTGGCCCCCCCAGAACCTACAGTTCCTGAATCAGTAGCAGCTCCGGCCAAATGGTAGGACACATGCTCTAGTACATATTAGCTCCTGGTTTTGGATTTCTTTCCAGTTTGGTTGAAGAATAATTGACCCCCCCCATAGTATAAGTGTAAGGCCTACGGCATGATGGTTTGATTTACATATATTATGACCCCCCCACCACAGTAGGCTCAGTTAAGATCCTCTTCTTATATAGACAGAAGAAAAGAAAACCCCCCCTTGTGATGAGAACTCCTAGGGTCTACTCTCCTACCAACTTCCACGTCACACATCAGTGTTAGCTGTAGTCCTTGAGTACGTGACCTCCTTAGTGGCTTCCCGTTTCTGAAGAGCTGGCAGTGCCCCTGTGTGGGTAACATCGAACCTTGGGATGTGTGTGCTAGTTGCCTGCCTGCAAGCTAAAATTCTTCCCCAAACACCCTGGAAAACCTTTTTCCCAGCCTCTGCCATGTGGGTCCCCCCCAAGTTCGTACTGATTTTTCTTTAGGATTGTGTTTATGCCAGTCACCAAATGTGACCCCCCCGTAAAAAAAAAAAAAAAAAACACTTCTATTAACTTACATTGTCTTAATTCCCCACCCCCCCAGGAGAACTAATGACAGTTGCCAGGTGGATGAGAGAGTTTATCGCAAACCATCCTGACTACAAGCAAGACAGTGTGATAACTGATGAAATGAACTATAGCCTTATTTTAAAGTGTAACCAAATTGCAAATGAATTATGTGAATGCCCAGAGTTACTTGGACCAGCATTTAGGAAAGTAAAATACAGTGGAAGTAAAACTGACTCTTCCAACTAGACCTTCTGCCAAAGGAAAAACACATTACTATTTTATTGGAGAACTGACTGCAGTACTCCTCAGCCCCTGTGTGTGGGATGAAGACCAAATTCTAGAATGGCACCGTCTGTTGGGCCAGTCGGCCAGAGATGGGTTTAGAGGCTTTCCTTCAGTAGGTAAATCTAGAGTTTATACAGCATACATGTACATAGTAAAATATTTTTATGATTAACAGTGTATTTTAATAACATTGTATCTAAAGTCCTTGTGAACCGGCTTGTACATTTTTCAATTCTTACTCTGGAATACCTACTGTCTGAGCAGTTTTGTAAATGTAATGTACTCATCACTGTACTATACCTGCATTCCAGAGTTTAAGATGTTTACTGTAAATTTTTGGGTTTTTTTTTTTTTTTAAAGACTTTACTTGGGACCTGATTCACTGAAATTTATCACTTCTCTTTAAAAACAGTTGGTCTTGTTAATTTTGAGTCTTCTCCTTTGTTGTGTGGGTGATGGGGATTGCTGTAATTAGCCCAGATCCTAGGGTAACCTTGGGTTTCTGGCACCTTGTCTCTAATGCTTCTTTTGTAATTGGAATAGCTAACAGCTTGGTCACCCTGCTTCAAGCTTTCACCTCTAAATAAAATCCATTGAACTGAAGGCTGTTATAAAAGGTACTTCTTTGTTTAAATTTGCTGATTTAGGCATTAAGTTTAAAGAGCAGTCTGTGGGAAGAAAGACTATTACTTTGAATTCACCTGTGGTGAACTGGGGGGTGATTTTTTTTTTTATTATTAAAAAAGGGGGCAGAATTATTTCTCTTCCTGCACATACCAGGAGTAATGTCAGAAATAGCACCAGCCCTTCTGTTGTGGCCCCTGTTGGTTCTGATCGCTGCTATATATATATATATATATATATATATATCAATTTTCAAATCAAAAGCAGTTGCTCAGGTCTTTGTTTTGTTACTTTTTCTCTAGTTTCCGGTAAACATATTGACATTCTCCTAAAGACCATTCTAGATTTTACCTGGGGAATATTCCACATAATGCTTACCTTCTCTGTGAAAACCATGAATGAATCATGATGTGCACTAAGTTTTGTGAATCAGGACCCTACGTGTTTAATTGTAAATAATTTAAGTTTACATAATTGTTAGTGCTTTTTGTTGAAGGTTTTTTTTCCCCAATTAGTTAGGTCCTAACTGCTTCTGAAATAACTATGTATAGCAGATTATGCAAACTTTTACAGGCATAAATATTTAAGTTGTAATGCTAATTTTAACAAACTGCGATAAAGCTGCTTCAGCTAAGCCTGTTTGTGTATAAATACTATGCTTTGTGCGATGTTTCATACATGTATTTTGAAGGATTTAAGAATGCCTGTTTTTCATTTGCAGTTTGCTTGTGTAAATCAGGTTGTAAAAAGGCAGATGAACTAAAAATGTTTGTGGTATGAGGAAATAAAAGAATGGAATTAGCATTCTGACAGCTTTCAGATGTGTGAGTTCCACAGCTAAATGGAGGGTGATGGGGATTGCTGTAATTAGCCCAGATCCTCCATGACTTTTTTTTTTTTTTAAGATTTTATGAGAGAGCGTGAGTGAGTGCGTACAAGCAGGGGAGAGAGGGAGAAGCAGACTCCCCACTGAGCAGGGAGCCTGACGCGGGGCTGGAACCCAGGACCCTGAGATGATGACCCAAGCCAAAGGCAGACGCTTAACCATCTGAGCCACCCAGGTGCCCCAATGACATTTCTTCGTTGCAATCCTCAGATGTTTTTAGAAAGAAGCCTGGTCTCAAAACGGGTGCCTCCTCTCCTTTAGGAGCTGTCCACCCCCAAGGGGAGGGGAGAGACCTGCTGGATGGAGGACAGGACCCCTGGCAGTGGATGTTTCTTTCACTCCAGGCTACTGCTCTGCTGAGTCAGTTGTCACAGGGGTGGTGCTGTGTGCACTGTAAGCTAGAGACGCAGGACTGTGAATCAGCAAGCCGGGCCAAGAGCTGTTGCCAACGCGTGTGTTTGGATCAACATCCTCTCCTCCCCCCGAGCCCCTTATTACATGATGGTCAGTCCACTTAGCTCGGACTTCTTTATCTGAATGATCCTCGGGCAGGACTTGTCAAACTAATCTGCATCCAGATCTGCTGGGATCTTAGTATGGTGCACATTCTGGCTCAGTGGGCCTGGGGTGGGGTCTGTTTTCCCCTTCTAAAACACTCCCAGGAGATGCTGAGGCTGCTGCTCTGTGGGCCACTTTTGAGTAACAAGGACTTAGATCACGCTCTGTACCTCAGTTACAGTCATTTTAAGTCTCAAATGACACTTGTCTTTAGTTCTAATGTATCTAGATTCTTCTCTTCCTGAAAACCAGACCACCACCTTTCCTGAGTTTTACCATCTGAGCCCAACAGAATTTGGGGTTTTAGGACCAGAACTGCACTCACTTTGCCTCCAGGCGTCCTGCCAGGACACCCCCTGTGTGAAGTGCTCTGGGATCCCTCCAGCCTGTGCCCTGCCTGGGCTGCATCCACACACCAAAATGCCTCCTGAGAGGAACACGTGGAACTACCCCAGCTTGCACCCACTTCAGCTATCCTGTTGGGGACACACTATACAGACAGCCCTGAAACTGCCCAGCCTATGCCCACTTCAGCTCCGGGCATACTACCAGGGCAGGCAACATAGAATGTCCTGGGACACCCCCCCGCCCCCCGCCAAATCTTGCCAGCCACAATTCCTGCCATCCACACCCCCAGCCAGCCAGTCACCAAGCACACACAATCTACACAGGAGACAACCATGCACAAGACCATTCCTTCAAGTTTAGAAGTAGCTATTCCACCTAATTCACAGAAACACAAAAAGTCAAGCAAAATGAAACATAGGAGTATGCTCCAAATGAAAGGACGACAAAAATCTCAGAAAAAAATATAACCAATCTACTTGATAAGGAGTTCAAAGTAATCATAAAGATGTTTACTGGACTGAAGAGTGGATGAACTCAACGTCAACAAGAGATAGAAAATATTTTTTAAAAAATCAGCTGAAGAAAGAATACAATAACTGAAATAAAAATATACTAAAGGGAATCAACACAGAACATGCAGAAGAATGTATCGGCAAACGGGAAGACAAGAGTAATAAACGAGTAATAAAAATCACCCACACTGAACAGCAAAAAGAAACGGATTTTTTTTTTTAATGAAGACAGGTTAAGAGATCGCTTGAACATCAAACACAAAACATTCGCATTATAAGGGTCCAAGAAAGAGGAGAGAGGAAGAAAGGGGCAGAAAACTTATTAAATAATAGTTTGGGAATTCGTTAATCTAGGGAAGAAAATAGACATCCAGGTTGAGGAAGTACAGAGAGTTTCAAACAAGATGAACCCAAACAGGTCCACACCACAATACGTAATAATTACAGTGTCAGAGATTAAAGAGAAGATTTAAAAAGCAACAAGAGAAAAGCAACTGGTTATATATATAAGGAAATACCATAGGGCTATCAGCTGAGTTTTCAGGCAGAAACTTTGCAGTCCAGAAGGGAGTAGCACAATATATTTAAAGTGCTAAGGAAAAAAATCTACAACCAAGAATACTCCACCTGACAAGGTTATCATTCAGAATTGAAGGAAACAAACCTTACAAGAAATAAAGGGACTTCTTTAAATGGAAAAAGGACTTCTTTAAGTGGAAAAGAAAAAACCATGATTAGAAGAAAATTATGAAAGGAAAAAATTTCATGAGCAAAAGCAAACACACAGTAAAGAGACTAGACCAGTCACTTACAAAGGTAGTATGAAGGTTAAAAGAGCAGTGAAATCAATTATATCAAAATCAGTTAAGGGGATTTTTAAAAGATGTAAAATATGACAACATATATAAAACATGGAAGAGGGGGAGTAAAAATTTAGTGATTTTTAAATGTGTTCGAACTTAAGTGACAACATAGACTGCTATATCCTTAGGATGTTATGTATGAATTTCATGCTAACCACAAACCAAAACCTAAACAGACAAGAAAAATTTAAAGAATAAAAGCATAACGCGAAAGAAACTCATCACAGAGAAAAAAATTAGAAAGGAACAGAGAAGAACTTCAAAAATAACTGGAAACAATTAACAAAATAGCAATAAGTACATACCTATCAATAATTATTTTAAATGTAAATGCCCTAAATGCTCCAATCAAAAAACATGGGATGACTAATTGTATAAAAAAAAATAAGACCCATTTATATGCTGCCTATAAGGGATTCACTTCAGACCTAAAGACAAATGCAACTGAAAGTGAAGGGATGGAAAAGATAATCCATGCAAATGGAAGGGAAAAGAAGAAAAAGCCAGTTAGCAATACTTAGACAAAATAGACTTTAAAACAATAATTGTAACAAGATACAAAGAAGGGCATTACATAATGATGAAGAGATTGATCAGAGAAGAGAATAGAACAATTATAAATATCTATGCACCCAACATGGGAGCACCTAAATACAGAAACCAAATATTAACAGACACAAAGGGAGAAATAGACAGTAATACGATAATAGGGGACTTTAACATCCCACTTACATCAGTGCATAGATCAGCCAACCAAAAAATAAAGAAGGAAACTGTTTTTAAACATCACATTAGACCAGATGGACTTAACAGATATATACAGAATATTCCATCCAAAAATAAGAGCATATACATTCTTTCAAGTGAACATGGAACATTCTCCAGGAGAGATCACATATTAGGCCACAAAACAAGTCTCAATATATTTAAGGAGATTAAATTCATAGCAAGCATCTTTTCATGGCACAATGATATAAAACTAGAAGTCAAAAGAAAAAACGAAAAAAATCACAAACATGTGGAGGCTAAACAATATGCTACTAAACAAGTCAACCAAGAAATGAAAGAGGAAATTTAAAAATTCATGAAGACAAAGGAAAATGAACACCCAACAGTTCAAAAATCTTTAGGATCCAGCAAAAGCAGTTCTAAGAGGAAAATTTATAGAGAGATGGCAGAAACAAGAAAAATCTCAAACAATCTAAACTTACACATAAAGGAACTAGAACAAGAAGAACAAAGCCCAAGGTTAGTTGAAGGAAATAATAAAGAACAGAGTTGAAATAAATGATAGAAACTTTCAAAAGAAATAGAAAAGATCCCTAAAACCAAGGGCTACTTCTTTGAAAAGATAAACAAAATTGATAAATCTTCAGCTGACTCAAGAAAAAAACAGAGGATTCATATAAAATCAGAAATGAAAGAGAAATAACAATTTGATACCACAGAAATATGGAGGATTATAAAAGAATACTACAAAAAAACTATATGCCATCAAATTGGACAACTAAGAAGAAATGGATAAATTCCTAGAAATGTATAATCTTCCAAAACTGAATCAGGGAGAAATAGAAAATCTAAACAAACCAGTTACAACAAAATTGAACTGGTAATCAACTCCCAACAAACAAAAGTCCAGGACCAGGTGGCTTTACACGTGAAT